TTTTGAAAAAACAAACCCTTCACCTATTTATAGGATTGGGTGGCGACAGAATCGAAGCGGAAGGTCGCAGGGTGGCACCGAAATTGAAGCGACAAGCCATCAACTCCTGTCTCGAAAACACTTATAATGATGACGCACATGGAGATGACGTCATTTCCCGGTAAAATACACTACCTGGTGTCTTGCTGAGCACGTTGACCGCCCATTATTGGCCAAGCCGTAACGCCTCGTAGGATCAAATTTCTCCACAAGAACGTGTGGCGTCTACCTATCGAGGACGCACCAAGTTGCAACCTCGACAAGCGGAGGGACTAACTGTATGGGTTCAAATTTGAACAACTACGACCGTTGATGAGTACGACAAACGACGAGATCCTCGTAGCTCGACATCCTGCAGGGGACGACCTGCAGGCGAACAAGAGACTGTACAACTTTTGCAGTAGTGTAGGCCCATTAGGGGACATTAGGAATATTCTTTCGAATATTTCCTATGAGTTGTCTTTTAGGGCTTAGAAGAGGTTTGTCCCTTATTTATAGAGCGTAAAACAACCTTGTAAGCTCTCTGGGCATTTTCCTAACTTATAACACTTGCTTACAAAAAACGATTGATGTCATTATTGTTTAAGGATTCATCTTGATAAGGTCAAGAAGTATTACCTTCTATAGTCACCTTGTATATCTTTTATTCTGGAGATTATTATACTCAGCTAAGATTTACTCCTTCACTTTTTTTGATTGATTTGTTCTAAAAGGTTTCAATATCTTTTGAATCAAACAGAAAGTAATATCAATTTTCATAGCGCCTCCTGAGAGTAGAAATAGAAACGACAAAAGAAAATTCAAAACAAGGAAGGATTTGCAAAATACATATAAAATTCATGTTTCCGATGCAATACAAGCTTTAATAATAGTTACATCCGGCGCAAAAAACATAACTACATCCACAACAGATCCAACAATCACTACAATCCTCACGAGTAGTGCAATGTCTATTACAAGTGAAAAGATTGTTAAGTTGTGGGAGTAGCATCCTCTCGAGTTTTGAGAGATCATGATCAACAATTCATGCAGCCAAAACTTGTGTCTTGGAGAACCACGACAAATTAACTGCAATATTCCACCAACATAATTATCAAAATTTAAGTAAGATATAATATAAAATTACATATATATCCAAATGTCCTACACAAAAAACATGCATATATCCTTAGTATATGAATGAAAATATGTTTGTAGTACCATAATATAGATTTCCAATCTAAATAGAGATAGAGATAGAGATAAATACTAATTAGTGGTTGTTATGAGAAGAACCGTCAAAACGTGACCAAACTTAAGTAATGCTATTTTAGAAATAGTACTTTATGCTCGATAAGAAGTTTGTACGAGCATCTCATTATTTTTCGAAGGTCACAATTTATAGGCAACATGTGATAATTAATTGGCTCAATAACGTCACAATAATTGTTTTCTTTATCATTTCTTAGCTTATTTATTTATTGAAGTCTTGCCCAATTTGGCAGACAATTTTTGAATAATGCAAATTTTAAATAATTAATCTTGTAATCTTAAATTACACATCTTGAGAAGTAGCAGTGGAATTTTAAACTAAATATATTTCATAATTGGCCGTTTTAAGGTGCTAGTTGCATTACTTCTCTTATTATATTGTAAAAATTGTACGGGACGCTCTATTTGGTCGCCTCCATTTAACCTATACCCATTTTTTAAAAAGTTTTAACTTGTACCCAATTTTTAAATAACTTCAGCCCCTTTCTCCTCCTCCTTCGTTTTCTTCTTCTTCTATTAACAATTGAAAGGCACTATGATTAATTCTCTAATACTACCACCATTCCATATGTTTGACCAATTACAAAATTACAAGTTAACAGTTGACTATGGCAAGACTTATTTGCTTCGAATGGTGAATGTTGTAATGAACAATCAAATATTCTTCTCTGTGGCAAATCATCAAATCACAGTAGTAGGATCATATGCTGCCTATTTAAAGTCATTTAAAACAGATTATATCATAATTTCCCCTGGAGAGACCATTGATTTATTACTTGAAGCAAATCAACCCCTTAGCCACTATTACATGGCTTCAAGAGCTTACAGTAGCAACCCTGGAATTGGATACGATAACACAACCACCACAAGACTCATTTCCTCTCAAGTCTCACAAGATGTTAGGAGTTGTAGACAATGCACCCACAGATATCCAACAGTATGTCTTCTTAACTATCGAAAAAGCGAAAGAAACAAATACCTATGAACAAGGGGAGGATTACACTTATAGTGTAAATAGGCTAAAACTTCAGCTCTAGAGCTGAAGTTCGCTAGTTACAAACAAAAACTTCAGCTCTAGAGCTGAAGTTCGCCAGTTACAAAAACAAAAACTTCAGCTCTAGAGCTGAAGTTCGTCAGTTACAAAACAAAACTTCAGCTCTAGAGCTGAACTTCAGGCAGTTACAAAAACAAAAACTTCAGCTCTAGAGCTGAACTTCAGGCCCGGCTACTAGAATGCTGAAGTTTTGCGTGATTGTCTTTGCTACTTCAGCCCTGTATGCTGAAGTTATGCGAAAAAGCGGGTACGCTTGCAATTTTTTTGCAAAGCAGGCACAAATTAAAAAGTGACACAAAAAGCGGGTATAGATGCAAATGGTAAAAATTGTACGGGGTCGCCCCCATTTAACCTATACCCATTTTTTTTTAAACTTTTTAACTTGTACCCATTTTTTAAATAACTTCAGCCCCCTTTCTCCTCCTCCTTCTCCTCCTTCCTTTTCTTCTTCTTCATAAGATCCTGCCTTTTTTATACTTTTTCCTACATGTTCTCAATAGCTGATGTCATTCTTCTATCTGATTCTTTTTCAATTCACCGCACCATTCATTAACCTTTAACTTTAAATTCACTTGCAGAATTGAGAATACTGATATCTAAAGTAGAAAACAATTCCAGTAAGCAGCGGTCACCCTTTCAAGAAACAGAAGTAAAATTCTTTTCTTTTTTTTCCATCTTAAGTTTTGATCTTTCTTTCAAATAAATAGAGTTAATCAACCTAAGCAAGCTAATTATGACTTATAATTGATAAACAGAATTTGTCCAAGGTTACTTCAACTGATGCAATGACTTATTCTTTCATATAAGTCATTTACAAAACAAAAACTTCGTCAGTTACAAAAGCAAAAACTTAGAGCTGAATGTCGTGGGTTACAAAACAAAAACTTGCTCCATTTACAAAAACAAAAATTTCAGCTCTAAAGTTCGCGAGTTACAAAACAAAAACTTCAGCTCTAGAACTGAAGTTCGTCAGTTACAAAACAAAAACTTCAACTCTAGAGCTGAAGTTCGCCAGTTACAAAAACAAAAACTTCAGCACACTTGGTTCAGCACACTTGCTACTTCAGGCCCGTCTACTAGAATACTGAAGTTTTGCGTGATTGTCTTTGCTACTTCAACCCCGTATGCTGAAGTTATGCGAAAAAACGGGTACGCTTGCAACTTTTTTTGCAAAGCGAACACAAGTTAAAACGTGACACAAAAAACGGGTATAGATGCAAATGCCCCTATTATATTGCCATTGTAATTCCACTTAGCACGTGATTTAATTAATGACCTAATTACTTGTTAATATTATTATGTAACTTTGGATAGCAAGATTACTAAATCTGACTACAAATGCATGTGAAAGACATTACTTTCGAAATACACACGTGAGAACTATTATTTCTTTTAGTTTGCGTCATGAATAGGCCAATTGATAGATCGGTGTAATTTTAATAAAGGAGTATGGGTTTACGTGCACTTATGCTTCTCTCTTTAGATTATATATAGCATTGTTGTGTTTCTTTAAAATACATTTTATGTGTGTATGCGCACCGCATGCGCGCAGAGGCATACCTAGAATTTTAACGTGGGGCACCACTATTTTGCTCAATTAGTGCCCCTAAAGACTTTTAATGTTCCAATATCAAGTTATTTATGTAATTATTTTTAAGGTATATACATATACAAAATTTATGCCAAAATTTACAGAGCCTGATGACCCTTCAAACAAAAAAGGGTCCGGGTTCAACTAGTCTTGCACTTCACTTTAAGACTGGTCCTTCAAACAAAGACTATAGTAAGCACAGATTTCCTAGGAAGAAAGATTTTCTCTCTTACCTAGAATTCGAATGCTTAGCTAAGACTATGCATAAGTCCGCCCCTATATGTTTATGTGTGTGCGCCCATACTCAAAGAGTATTGGTGCTATGGTTAGTGGAAAAATGAGGCTAGGGGTTCAATTCCCACATATATTTATCTTGGATAAATTTGTCAAATAGTTACTCAGCTTAGTGAAATTTTGTAGTAAAATTACTTGCCTTATCATAGATAGCAACAAAACAAAAATATTAGAGAGAGAAATAGTTATATATATATATATATATATATATAACAAATTTTACACAATCATATCATATCATCTCAAAAATAAAATATTTACATGTAAATCTCAATAAAAAGTGGTATATTTAATCTTCATTATAAGGCTGGTTACTTGCTACATTCAAAATTAAAGTTGAACTGATAGTGTAAAAATTCTTAAAAGTTGATGTGACAAACTCGCTCCCATCTTTTGGAAGCTGGTAGATCTGGACCAAAAGAGTAATTTCAACAAAAATTCAATTTTGTAACTATTGAAATTAAAATTGTATTATATGATTTTTTGATTTGTCATTTCTCTCACGTAGGACATAAGTTTTGAAAATTTGTGTAAATTCTTTAGAATAGACTAAAACTAGGGGGAAATCCAATTTGGGTATAGAACACCTTGTAGGGTTCATGTACATGAGATTGGAATATATATATTACGCACTAATAAAATACCAGAAAATACAAATATACGTTATTAATCAACTAAACGGAAAATATATAAAAAAATTATTTATTCTCTAGAAAAATATTTTCCAGAAAATATTTTTCGGGAAAAACATTTTCTTTTTTATACCAAATACATCCAAAATAACACTGACAACACACGGAAACATACTTCATAACAAAATACATATAAGATTCATATAGTCGATCTTTGAGAGATGTAGTTCCTTCTACGGTTTTATGTCCAAATTGCTACAATGTATGGAAGTTTCACCATAGATATCAATAATTGCAGAACAATAGCAGCAAACCCAACAATCGTTGCAATCATCCTTAGTAGTGCAAGGTCTTTGACAAGTCCAAAGATCATTAAGTTGCGGGAGTAATCTCCTCTTGAGTCCTGAGAGATTATAATCAACAACTTGTCCAGCTAAAACTTGCTTCTTTGAAAGCCACGACGAATTGACTAAAAATATCCACCATCATAAATTATCAAAATAAAAAAAAAAATAGATACAATACAGAAAACATAAATCCACGTGTCATGCATAAAAACATGCGTTATGTCTTAATGCATATAAATCCACGTGTCAATATATATATATATAGAGAGAGAGAGAGAGAAATATAGAGAGACATACTAACCAGTGGCTGCTATGAGAAGAATTGTGAAAAATTGACCAAGCTTAAGCAATGCCATTCTTGAAGGAGGTATTTTGCGCTTAATGAAAGTTTTTGTGTGAGCATTTGCATATCAAAGGCCATAATTTATAAGCCTCGCTGATAATGAACTTTATTTAAATTATGATAATAATTATTATTTTTTAGTTTATTATTATTTCTTAACTTATTTTTATATTCAAGTGTAATCTAATTAAGTTGGCCAAACAATTTTTGAATAATATTCCCATTTGGAAAGTCCACTTAGCACATGGTTCAATTAATAACTTGCTAATAGTATATGTAACGTTGGATAAAAAAGGTTACTATCTCCGACTACAAGTGCATGTAAAAGACATTATTTTTCGAAAGATGTATGTGAGAACTATTATTTCATTTAATTCTGGGTCGTGAATATGTCAATTTTTAAATAAGTGCTATGACGTTTTGTCACATGTATGCACTTATAATATTAGCTTAGTATAACTGCTTACAATTATAAGTTGTTAATTATGTGGAATATAGATCAAGTGTCTTTTCCATTTATATATTAGTAGTGGGGCATCTATTTAGGTTTTAAGAAACATAATTGACATTTCGCATTCTTAATTTTTTTTTTTGAGCATCTAAAAATAAATATTATGATTTATTAACAAGCATGGCGAGCAGAATATAGTTATACAATCTAGAGAAATATAGAGAGAGATATTAACTAGTGGCTGTTGTGAAAAGAATTGTGAAAAATAACCAATTTTAAGTGATGCCGTTCTTGAAAGTAGTACGTCGTGCTTGATAAAAGTTTTTGTATGAGCCATTAAATAGTTGTTTTCTTTATTATTTCTTAGCTTAATCTAACCCAAGTTGGGCGAATTTTCCTTCCGAATCAACTCTGAACTTCCCGAAATTCAATTCCGATCACTCGTACAAGTCATAAAACATGAAGTTAAGCTACTCAAGGCCTCAAACCACCAAACGACGCTCTAGAGCTCAAAACGACCAGTCGAATCGTTACAAAGTGCATCACGTATAAAGGCTGATTTGAGATTTAAATTTATACTATAATAGTAAAAAAGTTTACAGGCAAATATTCACAGATATTTAGTATTCATATATAGAGAGAGAGAGAATTTAAGAAAAAGTTATTGAATACATGTGAATTCATAACCAACTCTCAAGATTTACCCTAATCATACATATGAATAAATGTTCTAGTACTGATCTATCAATTGGCATATTCACGATGTTAAACTAAAAGAAATAAGGGAAAAAGGCCAGATTTGTATCTCTACTTTGGTAAATTGTTCACGTTTATACCTCGTCCTACTTTCCATCTAAATATGTCCCTACTATTAGCAAAGTAGATAAAATCGTCCCTAACCCTAACAGATTTCCAACGTGACAATGGACCCCTCAATTAATCTGCTAACTAGACAAAATATCAACCCAAATTTTAAAAGACCCATGCCCATTTCTTTGACCCAACTATCAAAATACTTTAGGAGTCCCACCTCTCTCTCTTAATTCAAGTATTCAACCATAGCTTTTGTTCTTCCTCGTTTTTCTTTTCCAGTTCTTGTTCTTCCTTTTTTTTTTTTCATTTATGGCTATGGCTCAAGGTAACCAACTGAAAATTTTATCAAAAAGAAAATATTGTGAACAGAAAATAAAAAAACAATTTGAAAAATTTAGAAGATTCCATAATAAAATAAAAACTAAATACACATTGAGTAGCATATCATCAGTCGAAAAAAAGGATTTTTATGACAAAAAATGAAACAGACAAATCGGAGATGGATCCCTCTTTCTAACCTTCCCCCTCCAAATATTTGTGGGTCTCCTTAACAATACTAATCTAGTCAAGATTCAATCAGTAGCAACCACAAATAAAATCCAAAATATGTAGAAAAATTAGCTTATGTGTGTGCACTAAAACATTCGAGTCCCTGAAATAGAAAAGAAAAAGAAGAGAGCTCTCTTTCTCATGGTTTGATGGAAGTGAAAGAGAACGGTCGATGGCGGCGACTGGGGCAGCTTAGCCATGGAGGAACAAAGAGGAGTGTCAAATTATCATTAAACCAACTTCTGAATACAGTAGTGAATTTTTCTTTTTCAAGTGTCGACGAAGAACACAAAGAAGAAATAGTTGGGTCGTGGATTTGTTTGTTACGTTGATTTGTATCCAGATTTTGACCCATTCAATTGTTATAGTTGGGTCGACATGGGTCTTTTAATTTGGGTTGATATTTTGTCTAGTTGGCAGATTAATTGAGGGGTCTCATTGCTACATTGGAGATCTGTTAGGGTTAGGGACGGTTTTATGTACTTTGCTAACGGTAAAGACATATTTAGACAGAAAGTAGAACGAGATATAAACGTCAACAATTTATGAAAGTAGAGATACAAATCTGGCCTTTTTCCCAAGAAATAATAGTTCAGATCTCCCAAAAATAACGACTTTCACATGCGCCTGTAGTCAGACTTTGTAATATAGATATCCAAAGTTACATGACAATACTAACAAGTAATCAGGTCATTAATTGAAGGGAAAAAATAAAAAATAGTCAAATTTATAACTGGTAATTAAAAAATAATCATAGTTTTAAGCGTAATCGAAATTTAGCCATATTTTCTAGTAAAGATAAAATTTGAACAAAAAACAATCTTAAAATTTTGGAGTTCGAATTTTTTACATATGAGATTCCAGTATAATGTGTTGGAGTTCCAACATAATGTGCTAGAGTTCCAACATAATATGCTGGAAGTTTATACGCAGGAGTTCCATAATCTCGCATATTATGCCGAAACTTTTTATGTGTTGGAGTTCCAACATAATGTGCTAGAGTTCCAACATAATATGCTGGAAGTTTATACGCAGGAGTTCCATAATCTCGCATATTATGCCGAAACTTTTTATGCGTTGGAGTTCCAAAATAATATGCTGGAAGTTTATACGCAAGAGTTCCATAATCCCGCATATTATACTGTTACTTTCCGTGTTTCAGTAAAACAATGGCTATTTTTCAATAGCTTTACAAGCGCTAACTATTTTTCAAGTACCAGTCAGAAAACTGGCTAGCCCGTACTATTTTCACTTAATTGAATCATAGGGAGAAATTCAAAAATAGCTAGATTTACAACTGGTCGTTCAAAAATAGCCCAGTTTCAAAAGTAATCAAAATTTAGCCACTTTTCATGTAAAGATAAATCTGAGCGAAAACACTGTTCAAAACCTGAAAAATACGCCAGTATAATATGCTGGAGTTAAAGCATAAGTATGCTTGAACTCCAGCATATTATACTGGAGTTCCAGGATAAGTATGCTGGAACTCCAGCATAATATGATGGAGTTCCAGCATAAGTATACTAGAACTCCACCATAATATACTGGAGTTCCAACAAGTATAATTGTCCAGTATAATATACTGAAGTTTGGAGCACCGGTGCTCCAGTCTCCAGTATATTATGCTGGAGTCAGCAAAGTATACCGGTCCAGCATAATATGCTGGAGTTCATACACAGGTGCACCGAACTCCAGTATATTATGCTGTATCGGTCTCTGTTGCAGCAAAATAGTGGCTATTTTTTATTGACTTCGTAAACGCTGGCTATTTTTGAATGATCAGTCCGAAAACTGGCTATACCGTGCTCTTTTTACTGAATGTGCTAAGTGAAATTCCCAATGGGAATACAATTCATAAATCGCTGGCCCAACTTGGGCTAGACTTGAATATTAAACTAAGCTAAGAAATAATAAAGAAAATAACTATTGTCATGACTCTTTTATAGCTCTCTAAAGACAGTTCATTATCAGCGAGGCCTATAAATGACAGTCTTTGAAGAATAACGAGATGCTCACACAATTTTTTTCATCAAGCACAAAATACTACCTTGAAGAATGGCATCGCTTAAGATTGGTCACTTTTTCGCAATTCTTCTCGTAGCAGTCACTAGTTAGTATCTATCTATCTCTATATTTTTCTAGATTGTAAATTTATATTATTTATGTGTCATTTATTATATACATGTAAAAGCATATGCGACTATAAACATATTTCATATGCATACAAGATATATGCGAGCATGTTTATTATGCATGATGTCTTGGATTTGTTCCTTTTGTAATATAGCTATCATACTTTGATTTTGACAACTTATGATGGTGAAAATTTTCAGTCAATTCGTCGTGGTTCTCACAGAAGCAAGTTTTGGCTGGACCAGTTGTTGATCATGATTTCTCAGGACTCAAGAGGAGACTACTACCACAACTTAATGATTTTCTCACTTGTAAGAGATCTTGCACTACTAGTGAGGATTGCAGCGATTGCTGGGTTTGTTGTAACTGTCTTGGACTTAGTAATGCAATTAGTAGTGTCAGACTTTGTACTAGCTTCGGAACATGAATCTTATATGTATTTATTCAAAGAACATTGCGACAAATCTTTGTTATGAATTGTCTTTCTGTGTGTTGTATGTTTCCTTTGGGTGTATTTCGTACGAAGGAAATATTTTCCACGAAAAATATTTCCTAGAAAATAAATGGTTTGCTTAAAGAATAAAGATACTCCAGTATTTGGTTGGTGAATGACAAATATTTTCCGGAAACTATTTTGTGGTGTTTATTTAGTTTGTAGAAAATATATTTCATTCTTATGTACATGAACTCTGGAAATTGTTTGTGTATCCTATATGTATATGTGTATCCTATATGGAAGTTGGAGAGGGAGAAGAATGCATTCATAGAGGGAGTCCGCACCCATGTCGAAAGCAATACAGCAACTTCATTGACTTTGCATCTTCTAACATCTCGAGTTTAATTAATATAATTATTCTCACGCTTTTCCATGACAATATTCTACTTGAGAACCAGAGATTGCGGAGTATGCGCCCGTGTAGAAAGGAAAGCGCACTTGAAATCTAGTCTATCTTAGGTTCAGTTTCAATCTAACTAACTTACTTAATTGGACGGAAAAGAGATAATAAAAAAACCTGACTTCTAGTCTTAAGAACCTTTTCGTTTTTATTTCAGGTGAACTTTTTAATTGAGCACGAAGCTTAA